ATTTGCCGTATATAAATATTATATACTTCAATAAAAAAAACAAGAGTTATAATAGTAACCACACACACAAATGTCACCCTTATCTAAATGTACACCTCTCCTTGATATGCCACCCTTATCCCATGGTACACCTCCTATTGATATGTCATCCTTATCCCATGGTACACTTCTTATTGATATACCACCCTTGTTTCTACCTCAAATCTACAGATAAATCTGTAGTTTTAGCCAATAATGGCTTCAAAATAGTTTCATATCAGCAACTTTATCTCAAGAACTCTCATAGTTCTTAAATTCACTTTTCCAATATTTATCTCAATATTTCTTTCAAAACAGATTTCTCATCTCATCATCTTTGAAAGAAACAACAATATCTTTCTCAATTTATAAACCACATTTGAAAGATACAAAATTACTTTTTCTCAACATAAAACAATTTGAAACTATTATTAGACAACATTTTGTGAAAACAATTGTTTTTATTTCACAAGTCTTGGGAGATAACTGCCCCTCATCGGCCAACACTATGGCCGATGACCCTTCCTCATTGGACAACACATTCAATCCAGACAACACTTGAAAAGGTAAACATACTCACCGGTCACACTATGTCTAGTAACAACCTCACAGGTCAACACTCTGTCTAGATATGTTCTCATCAAACAACACTATGTCCGGTAACCAATCTCACTGTTTAACACTCTCTCCGGTAACTCAGCTCACCTGTCAACACTCTGTCCAGTGCTACCTCACCGATTAACACTTAAAAGATTAACATTTTAATCCGGACATCACCTTGTCCGATGAACATCCTCATCGGACAAGGCATTGATCGATAGCCTCAATCCGGTCAACACTAGGAAAATCTTAAATATTAAACTATTCAATATTTTGGACGATGAGGAGCCCAATACGGACAACTCTATGTCCGATAAAATCCTCATCGGACGATGTATTTTCATAAGAACACCCACATATATATATAACATTCATACACCAACAGTTTTAAAGTATACAAAACTAGAATTTGTAGTCTAATTCAAGATTGTTTTAGAAAAACTCACCTCTATGCAAGAATGTAAGAATTTGAAGAAGAAGTTATAATTTGAAACTTTTTCCACTTTTGATTCAAAAATCCCAGATTCCAAATTGGGAAGAACACAGACTCTCTCTCTCTGGTTTTATTTCCAAAAATGGCAAAGAACCCTTCTCTTCAAAACTTACCCCTTTTTATACTTGCCATTTTAAGGCGGTTTTGAGAAAAGTTATTATAAAATACTTCTCCTCCTCCTTCACATAACCATGCATATACATGCATATTCATATGACCACAACTCATGCCTGAACATATAATATCCACACACATACATATATTTTCATGTATACATAGACTCACATCAACATCCCATGCATACATATACATGATACATATTTTCATATATATATGCATATACCCACATAATCAATTATAGCAATTACTCGTATATTCACATGACCACATAATCAAATAATCGTATTTAGATTACTTGTTTACTTGATCATAGTGGGATTTTCAATTTGATTTATTGTTCATTACTAAACAAGTGTTGCTTTGATTTATTGTTCATGTTGAAATGCTAATTGAAGATCTATTGATTTATCGTTCATGTTGAAATGCTGAAATTATTAAAGGAAGATATGTTGAAGTGTGAATAATTATGGAAGTCTTGTAAACAATTTACTTTGGCTGATGATAGATAATTTGTTTGTCCCACTGCCTTTAGGATTGGTTGGGTTCTAGTGAGAAGGGAAGTTATGGTGAGAAGTGTAAAAGGAGATATTCACCTCTGGATCAATCATAAATGAATGTCAACACTAATGAGGTGTACCGAGATGCACTAGATCAATTCTCTTTTAAAGTGTAATTCATGGGTAGGCATGGGATTAAAAGTGATTAAAGATTCAGATTTTTTCTTACGCTTGTTACCATAACTTCATTTCTCACATGATCCTTCGCCTGGAATGATATGTGTATATATAATCTATATATATTAAAGAAGAAACCACTATGTATGACATGGCTTCTTCTAAAGGCTAGGAGTTCTTTTATCTGTTTTTTAGTTTTTAAAATACTAATTAAGTTAAAGACTTTTATGTCCCTATAGACAAATTGTATGTTTCATAATATATGAGATTTTTTGGTCATTTGCATCCAACCTAAGTTTAACCTTCCCTGTAGACAAACTATATGTTTCATAATAAATGAGTTTTTAGACAGTTTCCATCCAACCTAAGTTTAATCTCCCAACTATTCAACTTCTTGATAGACATTCCTCTTATTGTTTGTTGCAATTGATTTACTTTCTCCAATTTTTCATCTATCCATCTCTTCATTCTTTTATTTCTCAATCTATTCCTCTCTATTTAGTTTTGGCATAATTGCTATCAAGAAACAATCGATTATGTTCTTGAAAACATTCATACACACCCAAGTTCAACCAAGACTACTTCATAGCGGAATATTAGTACGGTGAAATTTTACCGAGAATGGTAATGTTATATATATATATATATATATATATATTATATAGTGCTATGATCAAGTTGAGTTCTACTTGAAAACAAGTTTTAGGTTGCAATGAAAAACTTTTATCCTCACATGTCACGACTTTAACAAATGTATTGTCTATTATAGAATTTATATTTTTTTTCCAGATTTCAAGAATTGAGTTATTTGTTTGATAAATTATAAATTGAAGTTTTTTCTTATGGTGAATCATGAACTAAGTTTGTTTCATTTTATGAACTGTGAAAAGTTTTTCTTATTGATTTTGTGTTTTGAGTTGTATCATGAATTGATATTTGTTATTTTTTTAATCAATGATGAGTTTGATGTTTATTTTTTGGTTATATCCAAATCTTAATCAAATTTTGGGTTAAATAGTTACTTTTTATTTACATTACAAAATATTTTATTTAATAATTAAGTATTTCATTTTTAAAACTTTAAGATGATGATATGGCATAATGAGAATCAAGTATTTATATCTATATATATATATATAGAGAGAGAGAGAGAGAGAGAGAGGGAGAGAGAGATGAGCGATCAAATGCAAACCACCCAATTTGTACAAACTATGCAAATCACCCTAATGTTGATTTTATTGTTTAATCTTATGAAAAAATTTCATGAAATTGTTTAATCTTGTGAAATTGTTTCATATAATACTTTTTATTGATGAAGTTGTTTCATATATGGTTATGAAATTTTAATGAAACTGTTTCATGTATTTCTCTAAAATTAAAATAATGAAGATGATAATATCCATGATTAACACCCTCCATAATAAAAACGATTAATCAATCTTTCATAATTACAAAAAAATGAATAAAATGAAAAATTATGATTGATTGAATGAGATTTATACAAATAACGTGGTTTGCAAAAATAAACCTCCTATATATATATATATATATATATATTCTCAAAAGTTTGATTTTTAAAATGTTTAATATGTTAAAGACTTTTATATCCCTATATATAATTTATGTTTTCATTAAAAACCTGAGAATTGTTGTACTTCTACATGCATATTGCAATTTATGTTAATTAGCTATTCATTTCTCTTTATTATGTTAATTAATTATTCATTTTCTCTTCTTTATGTTAATTAACTATTCATTTTCTCTTATTTATTTCTCATTATGATTTTTCATTTTTAGTTCGCTGCCCAATGGTTTGAGTTGTTGTCAAACAACTTTTCTCTTATACTTTCTCTTACTACATTTATTCAATCAAATATATGAATTTATTATTTGATCTTATATCTAACGATTGTGTGATTGCTTGTACTTGTCTTAATAGCAATCTTGGATCTTATTAATTGTATACCATTCGAATGGTATTCCATACGTTTATGATTCTCTTTTTTGTTGATTGTAAATATGACTGTTAAAGTCATTTAAAAATCTGATAACTATAGAAAACAAGGTGAGATTTATTTTACCATTTAGAATTTGCATTCAATACATTTGCTAAAAACCAGTTTTAGCCTGTGAAAGTGTGTTGACGATGAAAAACATTTAAAGTTCGTTTATCAAACATTTATCAATAAAAGTCATCACCTTCACTTATCTTATCAGGTAACATTCTTGACCATCAACATGAATTGTTGCTAAGCATTAATTCTCTTGCTTCTATAACATTCACAACCATCAACATGAATTGTTGCTAAGCATTAATTCTCTTGCTTCTATAACATTCACAACCATCAACATGAATTGTTGCTAAACGTTTAGTGTTTACTTAGTAAGAGACACCACCATTACTTACCAGGTAAGAGTTTGAGCACTGTCTTGATTCTTACCCGGTAATAATGTTGGAAGTACTTGAATTTCTACCAATATCTTGTATTTATGAGAAAACATTTTATTCTTGTTTTATTGTTAACATTTTACATCCTGTCAAATTACGCAAATACCCAACTAGTGTGTGTGTGTATATATATATATATATATATATATGTATATGTATATATATATATAAAAAGGTTCAAACGAGAATACGAGAACACTCTCTAACTATAGACAATCACATATAATATTATTATTCTATCACATATGATACACATGTAATTCTAAATCAGAGAAGCGCACGATTTTCGATGTGATCTTGGTTGCCGGCCAAGTTGTCCTTACACCACCAAATCCCCTCACAAGTATTATCACATGTGATAAGAGTGTTGTTGATATAATACTATATTCCATCAAGACCATCATATGTTATGCTAAATCATAGACTCAAACAATCTTTGACGTAGCCTAAGTCGTAGAACACGTCGTCCGCACATCACAGGGTCCCCTCACACGTATTAAAGGTGTTCTTGTATTCTCGTAAAACGGAGGTGCGTTCCATATATATATATATATGTATATGTATATGTAATTATGTATATATATATATATATATGTATATGACGTGTGTGTGTGTATTACTTTTAGGGCAAAAGAATACAAATTCACATCATCAAATCTCGACCTGACACAAACCATTCGATTCGGGACCTGGGATAAAACCAAATTCTATCAACATGAATTCAAAACGGTGGATTTTAAGTTTTAATCCGGTACGGTTCCGTTTTTGTTTGTTTCGCAATTTGATGGTTTGCGCTTTGCATTTGACGATCCCGAAAGAACGCATAAAAAAACCCTAGTTAGAAGCAACAATTTGGCATCAATATTTGTTTGTGATTTAGATTAATGCAATGAAATTGAACCAAAATCTTAGATTTCACAAACAAGTTTCAATCCATGATTTCATAAATTTATCTTACTTTTTTGTGATTTCCTCCATCAACGATGATTCAAGAACTCAGAAGTTATGCTGTAAGAACATGTGTTCTTGAGGAGATGCAGGTCCAATCTCTTCTTCCAAGCTCCTCAATCCATCACCAAAGTTTTTGTTCTCCGAAATCTTTGGATCGACGATGTCAGCCTCGGAAACCGACGATTTCCGCCGCTGAGATGACGCCACGCTCGGAAACGTGATCCATGACGGAGCTCTAAACTCGATCCGTTGATCCTCTGTCTCCACGACGACATCACCTTCTAATTCCGATCGGTTTGATGATCGTTGCGATGATTTCTTGTGCATTCTACTGCTTCCTAAAACCACCTCTGTTGGTAAAATTGGCTGATCGTTGCTCGGACTTCCCATCAACATCGCTAACGCTCGTTCCAGAGCCGTTGTCACTTTATCCATCGACGGCCGTTCTTTTCCTCTCATTCTCACGCATTTACACGCCACATTTGCGATCCGTTTCAAGGCTTCCAGATCCGACGGCGGCGTTAGGATGGGATCCAGAATCGCGTGGATCTCTCCGGCTTTGATCAATGGCACCGCCCATTCGACGATATTTCCTTCTTCAAACTGCATATCGATTGCTTTCCGGCCACTGAGGATCTCAAGGAGCAATACGCCAAAGCTGTAGACGTCAGATTTCGTTGTGAGATAGTGAAGTCGGTAGTATTCTGGATCTAGATACCCTAGGGTTCCCGCCGGCAGCTCCGCCAACGGTGAGCTGCTGTTCGCCGGACCTAATAGCGAAAGCCCGAAATCAGCCACTCGTGCATTGTGTTCTTCATCAATGAGGATGTTGGATGACTTTATATCGCGGTGGATCACTGGCGGGCAGGCGTAACCATGCAAATACTCAATTCCCCGAGCTGCTTGAACGGCTATTGTAACCCGTTTCACCCAATCCAACTGCTCCTTCAACGCCTTCGGGTTGCCGTGGAGGTGCTGATGCAGTGAGCCATTAGCCATGAACTCGTAAACCAGTAGCCGTTGTTCGCCTTCTTCACAGTATCCGAGCAGATTGAGCAAATGGGCGTGATTCAATCTCGATAATAGGTCGAGTTCATTATGGAACTCCATCGAATTCTTCTTCATATCAGGTGAAAGAATCGCTCGTTTGACGGCCACAACAACGCCATCTTTCAAAATCCCCTTGAAAACGCACGAAAAACTGCCTTTTCCAACTTGTGATTCTTCGGTAAATCCTCCGGTGGCTCTCTCCAGCTCATCGTAGCTGAAAACTTGGGCTCGTCTGATCTTTAACTCGTCCAAATCAGGCTGAATCTTTCCTCCATCCTTCTGAAACCCGTTGTTTTTCATGAGTTTAAGTCCTTTCGTTGAGCATTTACAGTTCCGTAACTTGTAACGAACATAAAAGATTGCCGTCAATGATACGACAATCACCAATAACACCCCGAAAACGATCTCCCCTATGATCACCGGCAACTGGAGCGACCAAAATCTTTCGTTTTTCTTGTTGGAATAACTGTTTGGATACGAACAGTTTGAAGAACACCCGATTGAGGTGCAACTTGAGCAGTTATACTCACAAACTCGATCTGCAGCCTTGGTGCATTCAGATTTCACATACATTTGAGATGGGCATTCATTGGCACAAGGCAAACAAATCCTTGATCCCGGTGATTTGCACGATGAACTGCTGTTGTTGAACTCATAGAACCCTTTTTCACAACTATTTGATCGGCAGACTCCTGGAGGAACCGCTAGCGGCAATGATGTCGGAAAACCGGCACCCCAGCAGACGGGAGAAAGCGATTTATCAGCCACAATACCACAAGTAAAGTAATCACCGGCAGCAATCTCATAAAGTTGAACTCCTCTCGGGGGTTGGGTGCTCATATCGACTCGAAAACCCCAGCAAACGACTTCACGACTATAGCTCTTGATCCCACAAGCATGAAACCGCCCTCCAACGACCGAAAGCATGGCATCGTGTGGGGCTGAGTCAACGTTGACTTGGCCTCGCCGTGCCATTACCACCACTATTTCCTCTTCGGATTCCCAACTCGTCCCCCAACACGACACATTCGATTCAATACCTTCAATTATCCCACAAACATGATAACCGCCAGCCGATATCTTCCTAAACTTGACATTCCTCGGAACACGACTAATCACACCGCTACTAGTCTCGTCTCCCCAACAAAACACGCTACGGTTCTGTGAAAACAAGCCGCAATTGAACTCAGAACCAGCCGAAACCGATTGGATCTGACCTTGAAAAACATGACTCTTGGTCATATTATAACCCCAACAATCGACAAGCGAAATATTTCTGCGCTTGCCCATTAGGGGTTTCCGGAGACCACATAGATGGTGGTCTCCGGCACTGAGTTCGAGAAACTCAGCAAAGTCGGGCATGGGGTGAGGAACACCCATGGCTATGAACCCACTAGTCCCCCAACAGAATGGCTTGCTGTTATTCATCAAAAGCCCACACACGAAGCCATTGCCTGCGGTTAACCCGGTGAAGCGTGCAAGCGAAGGGGTGGAAGCCATGATAGCCGGATTGGAACCGTAACAGGTGACAAGGTGCGAGCCATCCGATGTTAGACTACAGAAGGCTGAACCATATTCACCGTAGGATATGGCTATAGACGACATTGAGCCCAGACCAATCACCCAACCATTTAAATACGTTGCCACCAGCATCAGCACTAGTAGTAGGGTTTCTAGTGTCAAAACCCCCATTTGACAAATCAAGCGAAGTCAAACAAAAACAGTGATCGAAATCCAACACATTTGATTTTGACGAACACAAATCATCCAAATCCAAGAACTCATAAAATCGCTGCAAGAAAAGGATATGAAACCAAATGAAATGGAAATAAAAAACGATTTAAGAGTGAGAAGTGAGGAACTTACAGGCAAATGGATTGGAGGTTGAAATGAATCTTGGTTTGGTGGTAGAAAAGGAATTGAATGGGAAATGGGAAGAGCAAATGCGTAGTTCAAAAGAGCGAGGGTGTGTAGGTGAAAGCATTAAATGGTGGGAGTTAATGCAAAATTGATCTTTTCATGCCTGGATTTCTGCACACATGTCCACTGCTTCAATCTCAACCCCCCCTACAATTACAAACTTTCGCTTTTTGGATTATTCACCATTTAAACTCTTGCTTTTCTCATAATATTTCCATCTTAATTTCACCCTATTTATTTATTTTTATTATATAATATATATATATATATATATATATATATATATAAATGAGAACGTATTTTAAAAAAACATATATCACATATTTTAAAAAATTTAATGGAAAAGTGGAACGTGCATAAACCTATTGTCTATCTAAAAGATTGACCAAATTGTTTTTTAAAAATTTTGAAACAACCGAAGTTTTGTTGTATTGTCTAAAGATTACAATATTCATATAATATATAAAATATTTTAAAGATTACAATTTTCAAATATATAAATGCATCTTTATCTAGAAAATGATTCTCACATTATCATGATTTTATATATTTATATATATATATATATATATATAACGAGATACATCTTCATTTTAATGTTTCGTTTTATTTTTTGTTTTTGTGCAAAAGATAATGTTTTTACTTCTGAATAAAAATAAATTTGAAAATATTATAAATTTTTTAAAAAATATCAATATTAATATCAAATTAACTATTTAAATTTTTTTGTTTTTTTACAATTTCTTTAATTTATTTTTTAATTATAATTAAATTTAGGTCAAATAGTGAAGTAATTTATTTTTTGGCTTAACAATAAATTTTTTATAGAGATGATGATTTTGTTAAAATTCAATAATTAGCCTAATTAATATCAAATTAACTATTTAAATTTTTTTGTTTTTTTACAATTTCTTTAATTAAATTTTTTATTATAATTAAATTTAGGTCAAATAGTGAAATAATTTATTTTTTGGCTTAACAATAAATTTTTTATAGAGATGATGATTTTGTTAAAATTCAATAATTAGCCTAATTATATTTTAATTTTTTATATTTTAAAATTAGATGTTTATTTTTTTATTTGATTATGTTTATCCGTAGTTAGTTATACGACTTCAAACATGGAGTTTTAAATTTTTAATAAGTTGTATCTATGCATAGTTTATTTATAATCTTGAATTTCAATTAATATGCATCAATATACAGTATTTCATGCATTAAAAATGGTTTTTAAGAGTTTTTGTCAAATGCTTTATAATATAGTATAGATATTTATACTATATTATAAAGCATTTGACAAAAACTATTAAAAACCACTTTGCAAATAGATCGTGCGGAAGTACAACTTATTAAAGCTCCATTCTGAATTTGTGTAACTAACTGCAAATAAACATAATCAAATACATGATAAAAATCTCATTTTAAATATAAAAAATCTAAAATATAATTAAAATAATCATTGAGTTTTAACAGAATACTTA